GCAGATCTATATAGGTGTATTTCAAAGATGTCTTATTCGTGTGAGGATCATGGCATTGGGGGTGTGTTTGCAGTATCAGTGGCTATAACCCTGAGGACCCTTTTCATTGTTAACTGCTGAAAGACCCAGTTGATTAGGCCGACTGGTTCCAAGGGTGCCAAGCCCTACGTGTGTGTGTGCGTGTGTGTGTGCATGGAGAGCCAGCAGTTTTAATGTCGACCAATCACCTCAGCAGGTAAATTCACAAATCTCCTTCTTTACTCAAAGGGGTGCTAATCGGTGGGTAGATGATTTGGGTTGAATGAAAACCTGCAGACTGTTGTCTCTCATGGCGTGGGAGAAGTGTTTCCCCTGGAGACCAAGGGCTCCCCTCCCCCACCATTGGCCGACCTACATTGGCTGTCGCTAAGTGACTCATTGAGAGAGGCAAAGAATAATGCACAAATGGTTGTTGTGATTACCTGTGCAGGAATCATTATTATTATTATTCATTCCACCATCCCCCCACTCTGATTCCCCTCCCCCATTATATCTCCCTCACTCCCCTCCTCTCCCCCCTCAAGTCGGCAGCCCAACCAGAAGCTTCAAAGGCGGGTTTTACTCAGCAGAGCCGTTCAAGAGAAAATGGCTGCTGTTTCCAGGTCTTGTTTGCACATCTGTCAGGAGGTGACTGTTCAGGAGAAAATGGGGTCCGTGGTATGCCGCTTTTCAACATCATTCTGTGTTAAAACCCGCATGTGAAGCAGACGGCTCGTGTAGCTCATTGCTCCAGTATCTGTGTGTTCAAATGTTTATGTTCAGAAAGCATTTTTTTGTTCTCAGCGATGGATGGATCATTTCACACGATGTTACAGATTTGAAAAGGTTGTTCAAGGAGTTATTTGCAGTGGCATATTTTGTGTAACCAGGAATGCTGAGATCTAAAAAAAATAGGGTTTATCAATCAACCCATTTACTATTTATTTATGTACTCAACATGATCTCTCTTCTAGCTGAACATCTATCATCACAACCGCACATCAACAAAATGAGTGCATATTCATTCCATTACCTTAGACACTACTTCCTTCAAAAAAATCTTGATGATATCAAAGACACATTTGCCAATGTCTTAAATTGCTGTCATGTAGTCCTGCTTGGATTTTAAACACACATCGAAAATACAATTATTGCTATTTTACAAATGTAATATTGGTCTTTATTCCATCTAGTATGGTAATGACGAGCGATACATTTATGTTGTTTTTAAAATGTCTTAATTAGTTGCACGTCTGTTGTGACTTTTTTCACTCGTAGTATTTTCAGATATTTGATCTTACACAGGCTTTTGTTTACTTTCTGGGTCTTGTCATGCTTTATTTCAAATGGCTCATTACATACAGTTAGCCAAATAAATGGTGTTTATCAAACAATTCTCATTCTCATTCTGCTACACAGGGTTACAAAAAATGGCAGCTTTAACTTAATCCATTGTGCGGAAACAGAACAGTGGTGCATTCCTGAAGTGCACTTCCAAAGTTTGCCACAGGAGTAATGTGAAATGAACAGCACTAGAGCCACAAAGCACCACCTATGGATACGGCAAGCCAATGGTATCGTTTACATCGTAAAGTCATTGACCAACATTGCCGTACACATCCTAAAGTTGACCCTAATGATCGAGCTGACCGCAGCGGGGGTTCTCATCATTGACCCATTCAGGTTTCCATTGCTCAGTTTCCTTTCTGTTGTGTTCTGCTTTGGTCTCCTGTATGCATTTGGAAAGTTTGACATGCTTTCAAACTAATGTTACTCAACTGCAATGCAGTGGTGAAGCCTAAATGAAAATAACGATGCTATAGGGAATAGTTTTTTCACAATTTCCAACAAAACACATGGTGTCTTAGTAACTGTTTTTCTACTTAAGAGTTGTGGTCTTTGTTTCCGGTTTTATAAATGAGTCAGCAACAGTATTTTGTCACCAAGAACAGTTGTTCATGTCCTCTTGTTGTCAGTACTGAGTGATTGACGAGTCACAAGTCTAATCCGCTAGCTTAAGGAAAGATATTTTACAGCCGTGCAAGGAATGTCGAGGGAGAAACTTCTTTCGTCAGGATCTTGTTGTACAAAAAGTTTCGAGGGATACAAAGGGATAACAGAAGCAGCAAAACAGATGTATTTGTACTATGCGCTTGGCCAATTTCAGTCAAACAAACTAGTCTGGGAAACAAGATGTGGGCGTTGTTTTAAATGTTTTGGGGCGTTTTTCCAAATGTAAGTATGAATCAATCTCAACATATTTGACTGCTACAGCTGTAGTGCTGGGAAGATAGTCAATGTCAAAAAGCTTGATGGCCATGTTAAATTAAAACATCCCTAATTGATACACTGATGGGATTGAATTAGGAAACAGGATCCCTGGCAATAAACAAACTAAATAATTCCCATATGCAGTTAGAGAAGTTGAAGAGTAAACCGGAACATCTAGTTATACTTGATGTCAATAGAAAGGGCTGATGCATACACAATATACGTATCACTACGAAAATCAGTTGTAAGTCCTTAACTTCTTCAAGCTTGAATGCAATTCGTCAAAACTCAGCACACCGATAATCCTCCTGCACCCGGGTGTCTGGACCTCTGCGGTAAGACACAGAATTCTAGTTTAATCGTACTTTTTAAAAGCCGCAATATCACCTCACTACTATAACCATATGCAAGGATGAACGGCTGTCTATTTGATCATCAATATTGTGCCATTCTTTGACATGGTGGACATGTTCTTGGATTACCAGTGTTTTTGTAGCCTTTGAAGTAAGTGTTTTTCCTTGTGTGATGTTTTTCTCTCAAAGGCACCATATCTTCAGGCTCTGACTCCACTTATCACTACAGCGGATAAACCTCAGAGCCGTTGCAGAGGTTGGCATTTAGTCTGGTTTCCCGGAAGCCTCATTGTTTGGTCAAAGGAGGCTCGGATGCCCAGGGAGTTGTGTAATGGGTGGTGGCATCAAGGGCCCATCTGATAGAGGGATTATTGCTGCGGCCCGCACCAGTGGGACCTGAGCCCCTCCAGGCTGCCTGTTAATTACGTTTCCAGTTGTTTGGTATGTAGCTGTGGCCGCTCTGAAAACAGCGGCGCCTTGCTTTGATGTGGCTAGTCGTACATGTAGGCTGAAATAAACACGGTAGCTGTGGTCAAATGGGGGCACGGTGGCTTTTGTTGACAAACTACAATGTTGTTGTGCTGAAGAGAACGTCAAGCATTTACTTTGCAACAGTGATATGAACCCAGTATTGTTTTCTTTTGATTAACATTTTTGTTCTGCTATTTTTTGAAGTCTCAGGATTATTATTTTCCGCTCCTCTTGTTACCTCAATCTTACCTGTGTGGAGTCTTGTATATTTATGAGCTGGCCCCTGCCTTGTTTGTCTTTTGCATGAGAATTCATATGCATGCCATACACAGCCCTGCATGCGCCAACAACGGGAGTGAAGAAGAAGAAGAAGACGGCTACCTAGAAAACAGGGAGGGAACAATACCGGACTTCGAATGTAAAATCATCCAAGCAAATGTTTTTATGAAGAAGGAAATATGAGTTAGTTTGACGTCAAGCTTCTGAATGAATTGAAGTGAGAACAACAAATGTAAACATAACAATTGTTTTATGTGGAACTCCGCAAGGCACCTTTTTAATAGCTCTTCTTTTTGGATTCAAAGTGTATATTCATTTCATGGCTGCAGCAGTTACAGGGGTTGTTCTAATTCCAGCCCATAGCACGTCCGCTGTGGTTGGTACAATAAAGCAGGCTCCATCTGAAAGAATATACCAAGGTGAAAGTGAATAATTCATGTTGAGTAACATGTTCATCCCCTCTGGCTGTATGCCTACTGGTAATTGGGACAACACCATTCTCTGTCTGTTTTGCTCGATCTCTCCTGTTGCTATGCTACCGAAGGGAACTTGAGTGGGCCTGGAAAGTGTTTGCAATGAAAGTTGGACAGCCGTGGCGTCTTCATACCTGACACTACCAGCCCTCTAGGTGTCTTTGTACTCTCAGCACAATGTCTGCCATCTCCCAGTGAGAGAGCAGGAAAGAGTTGTATCGTTTTTATATATTTGTATACTTGCCGTGACTCATTCTCAACTTGCTCTTTTGTTTTGTTAACAATCTTTCCTAACCATATTCTGCGCACAGAGAATTACCTCTCTTCGTTTGTAGGCTACTGTACATTTGTTTGTGTTTACACTGTGTGCATGAATGTATGAACAATGTGGTTCCAGCTTCATTCAACCTACTCTTGTAAAGCATATGCGTGAGCCGTTGGGGAAATGATGAGCTCTACAACAGTATTCTTACATTGTTCATCAGCCTGAAGACAAAAACAAGATGGAATTAAAAATGTAATTGCTTTCTGTCTCCTTGGCTTCCTTCAGTTTTGAGACAATCTCAATTGAAATGTTAACACAAGCTCTGTTAGGCAGCACTATTTGTTGGAAATAACTCAGAAGTGAAGGTCAGGCTTGCTGCTATGAATAATTTGCCTCTTGCTCTCTTCTGTAATTCACTAGATGGGAAGTAGACAGGCATTTCATATCCTTACTGCTTTATCAGGACTCTTTCTATCTGGATGGTTGGCCGGGTCACCAATGGGAAGCACCATACAGCTCTCAGGGAAAGCCAAATGGATAAAGACACTCCTATTAGGCCAGAGAAGAGAGGTTGGAAATTCATACATTCAGAACTAGACAGATGTGACCCAGCCATTGACATGGTAATAGAAAGGAATCATGAATGAAGGGTACAGGACTAGGCAGGCACTAACTCAGTGGGCACGGTGTTGGCTCATGTCCGCACCACTAAACAAGGATCACTGCAGATTTGTGCAGTGTGCAGAATTTGCATCTAATTTCATTGCAGTGTGATAGAGATAGCATTATCTTCGGAATGTCATATGCAAGAGCATAACATATAAATAAATATAATTCCCACTCCCATTTTTTTTCTGTCTATTTTTCCAGGAGTGAGCCCAGCCTTCCAACGTAGCTCCTCCCTCTCACTGGGCTAAGATGAGTATTACCAGTGACGAGGTGAACTTCTTGGTCTACAGATACCTCCAAGAGTCAGGTTTGTCTCACGCTGGAACTGTTGTATGCGAACATTAAATGGGCCATTATTATATGCACATCGTATTTGGTCAATGTATAGAAAGCACATTCATCCTGCTCTTAATCCCAGGCTACTATATTCACTGTTGTGCAGGATCAAACTTGAAAATACCTTTCCTCAGCATATAGTGGGTGTAAATAGACTGACCATTCAGCCCCTGTAATACGAACACCTTGTTGGTGCACTGAATATATCCATGGCAACAATCTCTTCATGCTTCAATATTATTTTGAACAATGAATCAAATCTAATACTTCTGAAAGCATCCGACAGAATACAAACTAGTATCCCTGAGAGGTCAGCATTGCTATAGACATGCCCTAAAAACCTCTCAAATATCATACTTGTTGTTTGTTGTATCCGTTTACTTTAGTTTTGGATCACACAAGACATTTCTTTGAATATTTGTGTTGTGTTTTTGTACATCTTGTGCTTGGCACTCTCCCATAAATGAATGTGAATGGTGTTTTGGTGTCAGGTTTCTCACATTCAGCATTCACCTTTGGCATCGAGAGCCACATCAGCCAGTCCAACATCAATGGAACGCTAGTGCCCCCTGCAGCCCTCATCTCCATCCTGCAGAAAGGGCTTCAGTACGTGGAGGCAGAGATCAGCATCAATGAGGTGAGGGCAGGGACCTGCTGTCTCTAACTCCCACAGAGGTTTTCTTTTTGCTTAATGATACAAAGACAATCTTAGATCCCTCTGACAACAAACTAGATAAAACTGCCAATGATTATAACATTTACCCTTCTACTATATATAACACTGAAGTCAGCATACTATCACTGTTCACCTCTATAATCGGTTATTATAAGGAATCATGACTCTATAAAAGTCATTTGTTAAACGACATAGCTTAATGATGTGTTAATAAGTCTTAATGTCCCAATAGGATGGTACGGTGTTTGATGGTCGGCCAATCGAGTCGCTGTCGCTCATCGACGCGGTGATGCCAGACGCGGTGCAGACGCGGCAGCAGGCCTTCCGCGAGAAGTTGTCCCAGCAGCAGGGCGCCTGTGACATCGCTGCCTCCACCTCCGGGAACCAGAACAACGCCCCAAAGAACGGAGAAAACACGTTCAATGGGGAGGAGAATGGCACGCACAACATGAGTATGTTGAATCCTTTATACAGAAGTGTCCCAGTTACCTTGAATTAGGAACTCAAAATAGTTATTTGATCAAATGGTACTCAAGAACAAATATAAACAAGTAGATCCATTATGAGCTCTTTAGCAATATAAGTAAAAAAAAATCTAAAAAAAGCTTCTTGAAAAAATGGGTAAAATTACGAGTTATTAAATGTGCTTGTTTCTGCGCAACATTGTTATTAATAATCTATACATTTAATTTCTTTAGTTTTAATTTTCACTTCTAGTAATGCTTATTTTTGAATTTGAAGTGAACACGCAAGCACTACATTAATGTTTAAAACACAATGTTTCAACCGCACCAGGATATAAATCTGGATTTGGAACATTTTCAAAGACATTGCTGGCAACAGTTCCTCTGCCTGCACTCTGTTTTTTGGCTCAGTGCTGTCATAAGAAAGCATCCAAGTAGCTGCATTATTAATCAGAGCAAACAACCCATACTTTACTTCGGGTAATACTTCTAAAATAAGGCAAAACTTTACACATGGAAAGAAAGACAGTCAAGTGGTTTTCACAGATTTCGATATAATTAGCAGCTGCTAAGCTTCCTCTGAGTGAAACCAGAGAGGTGTAGATTAGGTGGAGCTCTAGACAAGAGGAAGAGGAGAAGAAGTTTGTGTCAGCACTTCCCTAAGAGTGTAATCTGAAGGTGTTGATGGCAACAGGAAGAGTAAGGTGTCACTGTCTTTCAGGCTTTTAGATGATCTGAAAGCGTTCAAATATCCTGAAAAGCTGCATCCTCCACTGTGACGGTGTTCTCATTATACTGTGTAAACGGCACACTCCAAGTGGGTCAGTATTCTCAGACGGAGATAAATAAAAAATAGCACTGGCATATACCAGCAGAAACCCATTATTGATTTCCTTTGATATCTCCCTGTTACTTAAAGCTATCCCTCCACCTCCTGAAGCATCCATTAGCGCTACATTTATCAGCATTTTATTTATAGCTTGCTGACAAGTGTGGACCGATGTGTGTTTGCAAGCATGTGTTAATGCATACTGTGTGTGTGTCTGTGCTCTCTCATCTCAGATAACCACAATGAGGCCATGGAGATGGATCTAAATGTGGAGATACCATCCAGTAACGCCACAGTGCTGCGAGGCCACGAGTCTGAAGTGTTCATCTGCGCCTGGAACCCTGTCAGCGATCTGCTGGCCTCAGGGTGAGTCCCTGTCTGCGCCGATTCCAATCATAATGCTACTCAATGAGTCGTATTATATTATGTGCATGCCTTGGCTTTTATTCTGTGAGATATACGGCCTCATCAGATCCATCGCTGACAGCTTGTATTTCAACCATCTTTTGACCCTCTCCTGCCGCGTTGGTATTCAGCTCGGGGGATTCCACGGCCAGGATCTGGAACCTGAACGAGAACAATAACTCCAACTCCACCCAGCTGGTGCTGCGCCACTGTATCCGAGAAGGTGGCCAGGATGTCCCCAGCAACAAAGACGTCACCTCACTGGACTGGAATGTAGGTTCCTGATCATCCATCTTCTTTTTCTTTCACCATGTGTCGAACAGCTGAAGACAGTTAACTAACAATTCTGACATCTTTCCATCCCGCAGAGCGACGGGACTCTCCTGGCGACGGGCTCCTACGACGGATTTGCCAGGATATGGACAAAGGATGGTATGTCCTCCATTACAGCACGGTGTCGTCTCTCGGTCATTAGGTCTATGCCATTGTTATCGAGAATAATGCTACCTCTGTGACAATTTTTTGAAGGATCATTTCTAAAAGAAATGGATATGGCTCTAATCCATTAGGAAATCTGGCAAGCACCTTGGGACAGCACAAAGGGCCAATATTTGCTCTCAAGTGGAACAAGAAGGGGAACTCGATTCTCAGCGCTGGTGTAGATAAGGTATTTCGTAATGTCTTAATAATAATATCCTCATGTTATTCTTTCTTTAACAGTGCGAGTCTTGAAATGGACTGTTTGATCAAGAGCCAGAGTGTAAATCTGTAACATATCATTGTTCTAGTATTCATAAACCACAGAGCAAACTGCAGTGTTATCAGTAAATCTTCTGTGCACTATAAACTCAGCATATAGAGCCCAGAAACGATTAGATGTATTTTACATACGTTATTAGATATTTCACATGCAGCATGTAACCATATACACATGAACAAAAAAACATTATTTATGCAAGATTTATGCGCTACACTGACATGACAAGCATATATGCATATTAATAACTGTTGGTAAATATGTCACGCCCTGGTAGTTCTCAAGTAAACGTTTTATGAACCTTTGATATTCTTACTGATGGTGCATTCATAAAGGTTGCATTTGTGGTTTGTGACGCTCAATTCCATTTTACAGACGACAATCATTTGGGACGCACACACAGGAGAAGCAAAGCAGCAGTTCCCTTTCCACTCCGGTAAGCAAGTTCTCCCTGTATCAACACATTGGAAAAAATGATCATTGCAGAACAAGATGCAACATGTTTGCCGCTCTGTTGTGATTGTATAATAAACCTTTGTTCCAAATACTCCCCAGCCCCCGCCCTGGATGTGGACTGGCAGAACAACACCACCTTCGCCTCCTGCAGCACGGACATGTGCATCCACGTGTGCCGCCTCGGCAGCGACCGGCCCCTCAAGACCTTCCAGGGCCACACGGTGAGCAACTCTTCCTCCGTGGCTCTTCTGACCTCACCATGAGAAGATACAGGCTGCTAACACATTGTTGTGTTTTACAGAATGAAGTTAATGCCATTAAGTGGGACCCATCAGGTATGCTGCTTGCCTCCTGCTCAGACGACATGACCTTAAAGGTGAGTCCTCAGTCTTTAGAGCTTCAAGGCAACAAACCTCAAAGGTGATTCCATTCACACTTTGCTGTTCCCCTCACACACAGATTTGGAGTATGAAGCAGGACGCCTGTGTCCACGACCTCCAGGCTCACAGTAAGGAGATCTACACCATCAAGTGGAGCCCCACGGGCCCCGGCACCAGCAACCCCAACTCCAACATCATGCTCGCCAGGTGGGTCGCACATAGCTCACGTTCAGCACCGTAAAGAGCAATCGGGTTCCTAATAATTCAAGAAAAGTCCAAGTTTGTGTGCCCAGAACAAGCTGTGTGTACATGTGTGGGAAGGGGACACTTGTCATAGCCTGACATTCAGAAGAAACCGTGTTCCCAGTGCTATTTACTGTCAGTGGCCGACAGCGCAACACCATGACCCAGATCTGCATGCATGTGTAAATGTTCCAGTTCAAATACCACAGGAATTTACAGCCCTTACTGACAACCCCGCATACCTGCCTGTAATCCGCTCCGTCATAAAACTGCCATTGTTGCCCCCGCTCGGAAGGAACCTGATAATCTTAAGTAAATGGCAACGTTGAACAGTACGTGTGCAATACATTTTTAATTGACTTCACTTTTGCTCCCTCCATAATATCTTTCTGATTTCCCTTTCATTTGTTGCCAAAGGCTCCCATAGGAGATTAGTCTATTTATACCTGGGTGAAGAAGATGTGTTAATTGAAATCCTCCTTATATTATCATCGTTTTGTTTAACAGTGTCTCAGTCTTATTCACACGATCTTTTTTGTGTAGCTTTTTCCCTTTTTAAAGGAGCATTTATTAATTGTTTCCAAGATGTTTTCTGTTGCTGTTTCACTTGTTGGCTTTTTGAACTCGCTGAGCACAAAACTGATGCTAACGAAAACACAAATGATGAGAATTTGTAGCGTCTTACTTACTAAATAACTGCCCCTTTTTGTATTTATTTATGAGCTTTTTGGCTTCATTCACCGCTTCAAAAATCTATTAAAATATTGAATGCTATTTTTAAAGAAACAAATTCCTTTGAACTTCATTTTTATGACAAATATTGTTTTCTAAATCAGTCATTTTCCACACCCACAGTGCCTCTTTCGACTCGACAGTGCGACTATGGGATGTGGAGCGGGGGGTTTGTATCCACACGCTCACCAAGCACCAGGAGCCCGTGTACAGCGTGGCCTTCAGCCCCGACGGCCAGCACCTGGCCAGCGGCTCCTTCGATAAGTGTGTCCACATCTGGAACACCATGGTAAGGGTCTCAAACAGCACAGGGGGGGGGGGGATTCATTGTGAGGATTCATCTTTAAGGAACGGTCATGAACACGTTTGCCCTCTTGTTTCAGTCTGGCGCCTTGGTGCACAGCTACAGGGGGACTGGAGGTATTTTCGAGGTGTGTTGGAACAGCACCGGGGACAAAGTTGGTGGCAGCGCGTCCGACGGCTCGGTAAGCCCCGCCCACTGGGACGATGATTATGTGATTCACTACTATTAGCTGTTTTTAAGACGATGAGGGCCACATGGAACAAGAAACTGTCAGAATTACGACTTTTTTTTTTCTTTCACATCCCCGATTTTATTTTATTTTCGTGTGGCCCTAATCCTCTTCCGTAACTCTACTTAATGTACTTTGGTATTGTTTAACTTGGTTTGGTGCCTGCAAATTAAATTGTCTGAAAACACACATTTATAGTACTAAAAGTTATAAAAAAGGAATGTTCAAATGTGTTATTAATGCTCCCTAATCTTTGCCCTCTAGGTATGTGTTCTTGATCTCCGAAAATAGCTGTCTTGAGACTCTGTTGATGAATCCTGGAATGTGCAGCGGATTGCCTTCTCCTGACGTCAGCAACAAACCCTCTGTGCTCAGTTAGAGCTGTGAGGTGGAGCGAAGCCCCTCGTAGGAGTTAAACCATATGACTGCAGAAGCCTCTGAGGAAACGACACCAACTGACTTCAGCGCACCTTAAAGTTTGTTGATGTGTGTTTTTATGATATGCCCATTGGAAACATAATGGAGGGAGGTTAAGAGATCCCGAAGACGGGATGGATTCCAACTCCCTGGGTGCATCCGTGTTTTAACAGGTTTCTAATGAGAACGTGCTGCCGTCCCTCCGGGCCTCGTGTCCAGCTGTTATCGGGGTGTAGGGTGGAAACGCAAAGATGAGTTTTATATAAAGAGAAAAAGTGTTAATGTGTTTGGCAACAAATTAGGAAAGAAAGGTTATGGTTTGAGATTTCCTCTGAGCAAATGTTACCTCATGTCCAAACGAACGAACTGTGGACGTGATCAAACTGATGCACTGGTGTTGTGGACAGTGTGCTTTACTTCTTCTCAGTGGGGAATAGTTTGTTTCAAGAGCACTTCTTGCTTTTTCCCCCACAGATGGACTTTTGAAAGTCAAAATTGAATGTGCCGCTACAAGGTAGTTCTCAGCTCACATCTAACATCGGGTCAACAAAAGGAAAACCTGCCGAGAAAAAGTCCTAACCTCCTAAAGTGACCTGAGATTAGAAAAAGTCATTTTCTGGACAAGTGTGGTTTACAAAGAGAATGTTCTCCCTTTTTGGATGTAAATTAAAGAATGTAAAGATATGTAAATTAGATGAATACACACTTATATACTGTGTATATATGTTTATATACAGTACACTTTATTGCCATCCTGTAGGGGCTCATTAGCTATCACACCTTGCTGATAATGCTTGGCAAGACCTCTTTTTAAATGAAGTGCATGTGTCATCAGCTTCTTTTAATAGTCTTTTTCAATCATATCCAATGCATCATGTTGTTTTGCTTTTCGGTGAGTCACAAACAGCGTTGACACAGATGTGTTAAGCAGCTTTGCTTTCCACTATTGATCCCTGAAAGCCATCCTTACCAGCATTCAGGCAATTATCAGCTCAGCAATATGAGAGAAGAGTAATCACAGTATTCTACGTGGAACAGGACATCATAAGAACAATGCTAATGGTATAATGCAGACCTACGGAGGAAACAAGTACAGCTACATTTAGCATTACCATGGTTTCTCTTTGGCACTTCCCTCTGAACAATCTACTGAAAATCAGAGCACATTTTGACCAGAAGGTGGAGGTCAAGCAAAAGTCCTGCTGACGTTAAGAAAAAAAAAAGCTTATGTTAAGTCCCGCCACATACCGCTGGCTGGTCAGATTTGAAATGCGCAGTAAGTGTTGCTGACAGGGATCTCATGGAAAATATAGTAACTTCAAACCAACCTGCCACCACTTTGATTTGCCTTTTCCTGGACCCTTTCCCTTTCAGTCAATGTCTGCTAGAGCAATGTCAAGTGCACTTTTTGTAATGGTGAATACTGCAAATGTTCAGATTTTGCTGAAAGTTGAAGGGCCAATGTTTTATTTTTCTCTTTTTTTAATGTCAAAATTGGATGTTAATGGGTGGTTCATTGTTTTCTGTACTTTTTCATTTGCTGAGAGCCATTATTGTCTGTGTCAGACTGAGAATCGAGCTGTGGGATGGTGGCCGTTGTTGGCATGCTGAGGAGCCCGGTTTGGAATAAGTGCTGTGACTGCTTCTATCTCTCTCACCCTGGTCCGGGGTGCAGTCACCCGTTTCAAAGACAAAACGTTGAATTCATTCAGTGTCTCAAATAAATCACTCTATTTTGATATCAGAAACCATGGAGCCTGTGTGTTTAATTGTGTTTTAATTAGCACAGAAGTATTTGTGTTGGTCTGCAACCACTCAAGACATACAAAAAGTGTCATCAACAAAATGTTTTCAAATATTTTGGAAATGTAATATAGTACAAAATAGATGTGTGCAAAAATACAAGATGGACAACTGTAAATACAGTAATTGTTTAAAAAACAGACACTAGTTAGCTTATTACATTCTGTCATGCTTTCAGAGGTTAATGACAATAATTGACAAACATTAATGTAGTAAATCACCCGGGATCATTTACTGAAGGCACTTTGAAAGGTCAGCCTGTTGGCTGGTAATATTTAAATGTCGTGTTTGTTCCATTGACTGGCTGCTAAAGAGACAGTGACATATTGTGTACTGTTCAGCTTCAGTTACAGTACTACACTTAAACAGATTGAAAAAAGCTTTGAAAGGCTTAGAATCAAGAATTTCACTTTTTCTGTTTTACCAACTAATGAAATCTCATGACCAGTTAATATCTGGAGGAAATCTCAATGGGAGAAAATAGGCTAAGAGAATAAATCCTAAAACAACAGTAACTTAAAGAAAGATGTCCCACAGGAGGAGCAGAGGGAGGCGGGTTGTTCAGCTAGTGCCTCACAGAGTTCTCCAAGGATTCTCCGTCAGCGTCTACATCCTCATACTCTCGTGGCTCGCTGGAAATGTGGAATTCAACTGTACTAGACTCTGAACCTATCGAGACAAAATAAGGCAGAATACCGGGTGTTACTGCACAAACACCTTCACAGCTCATCAATGGACTTATCTATAGAGATGCTGATCTTTGATTTATACATCCCTCAGCACAAATGTATTTTGGGAACGTTAACATATCCTGTAAATGCAGTCTGTAATGATTCTCATGTCTATACCTGAATTTGAGTGGAAGACGGAGTCAAAACTATATGAATGAATGAAAAACATAAATCCTTTAAAAAATCTTTACTTTATTTCTAATGAATTGTAATTTCAGAGACACTGAATATTGACACAAAACATTGAATAGACTTCTAACATGTACTACATTGTGCACAAACAATGTATACAATGCTTTACCGAATCATCCCAAAATACATTTAGTAATATAGAAACAGCACAGAAGACATATCAAAGTAACAAAAGTAAATGTGTCCCAGTAAAAAAACACCAAATCGATGTTCAATATACACTCAGTAGCACGATTATTTGGTAAACCTAGCTAAAACTAAAGTGATGTAATACAACTGTCTTGCTTTTAATCTTAGTTGCAAGTTTATACTATTAGCGGCTCCCTTCATACATATTAATGAGTTTAAACATGTCTCTTAGTACAATACAAATATAATTGAACAGTACAAAAAAACGACTATCAAGTTTTACATAGTTTCACTTAATGGACATTTATTCCCATTCCTAAAGATTAATTATAAGACTGTTGTATTAAACTGGACTAGTTCTAGCTGGCTACCATGTACACATGCAACTGAGTGTATTTCACATGTTTATCCTAATAATCTACAGCTGTGCCATTGTTCTCTGCATGTCATTAGATGCATTTCAATAATGACAAATGATGTGAAGGAGCCACAGTTGCAGCACCCTTAACAGAAGGTCAGGATATGCACACATGATGTGAAAAAGTACGCCCTGACCTGACACGGTGAAACACATGCTGAATTATGAAAATACCCGATCATTATGAACAAAAAATCCGTAACAATTTCATGCTACTGTACTCAGTCGGCGTGGATAGAACAGAAAATCCTGCAGGGGGTTCATGACCCTGAATGCCTCATGACCCTGAATGCCTCATGACCCTGAATGCCTCATGACCCTGAATTACTGCATCCAGAAGGAGTTTTCTTGACTATTAAAAACTAATCACAGAGAGCTTCAAGTTCAAGCTGGTCAATGTCACCATGTCACCAATCACCATTATAAAAAAAATTAAAAAGCTTTCTTCATTAGAAACACATCTCTCAGTAGATAATATCACAGTATAATGATTCCCTAAAATAAATCACATGCTTCATATAAGAAACCAGTTCAGCAGACATCATGCAGCTAGAGGTGGGAAGTAGTGTTATTTTTCTTCTTACATTTTGAACACAAATATCTGTACTTTCTACTTCTTACATTTTCAAAACAGGCTGGTTACTTTAGTTTTAATCTGTGTTTGGTGGCGTGATCATTATTATTTAGAGTCATTGCGTGCCTGTTGATTTTAACACGATCCGTGTATCCATCATTTCCTGGTCTTCTCTAAAGAAGAGGGACCAATGAAAACGTTGTAATTTTGCCGTTGTTCAGCATGGAAACATTCATTAGCTAACAATGACATTATTGTTCTATTAATATAAAGTGAGGTCAGTTGGTAGTTATGGCTACTTTTTACATTTCGAAGCCCATATTTCTTTACTTTTACTTGAGAAAAGAAGTTCATGTCAGTACTTCTCTTTTTACCAGAGTATCTTTAAACACGAGTATCTGTACTTCTACTTGAGTAAAGGATGTGTGTACTGTTGCCTTCTCTGCATGCAGCCCACAGGAAGCTTTAGAGCGTCACCAGCCCTGATACACAGGTGAGCTGTTACTGGCACTAGCCCAATTACCTTCTGAGAGCACGCTGATGGCGTCAGAGTGCTGTCCGTTGCTCATCATGTTCTTCTTGGCTTCCTGGACATGGCTCTGGTAGAGCAGAGTGGTGCCCACCGTGGGATTGTGCACCTCTGTGTTCGGCACTGAAGTAGAAGCGGAGTCCCAGGCCAGCTTCCTCCTCTGCTGCAGTCTGAAGTCAACATCTAAGCCCGTCCAGCCGTGAAAGGCCAGGGTGTTGAGGAACGCTTGCATAGGGTTTAGGATACCCTGAAAAGGTCAAAGGCAAAAAGTTGAAGGTTTTAGACAGAGATGACAAAAGTACACACATCCTTTACTCAAGTAGAAGTACAGATACTCGTGTTTAAAAATACTCTGGTAAAAGTAGAAGTACTGACTAAACCTCTTTACTCAAGTAAAATTAAAGAAGTATGGGCTTCGACATTTACTCAAGTAAAAAATAACTACCAGCTGTTTTAAAGATTAACTGACCTCACTTTATATTAATAGAACAAAAATGTCATTGTTAGCTAATGAATGTTTTGATGCTGAACAACGGCAACATGACAACGTTTTCATTGGTCCCTCTTCTTTAGAGAAGACCAGGAAATGATGGATACACGGATCGTGTTAAAATCAATAGGCACGCAATGACTCTAAATAATAATCATCACGACACCAAACAGATTAAAACTAAAGTAACCAGCCTGTTTTGAAAATGTAAGAAGTACAAAGTACAGGTATTTGTCTTAAAAATTTAAGAAGTAAAAGTAAAAAGTCGTGGAGTAAAGTACTGATACCAGAAAAATGTAACAGTAACGAAGTATGTGTACTCAACTAGTTCCCACCTCTGGTTTTAGATATTGATAAAACTAGTGTGCTTCATTCTTTGTGTACCTACCATTATAAACCATGTGATGAGGGCTGCGTTTCTGATATTCCTGAAGCCGTTGTCATTGATGTCTGTCTGCATCTCCAGGTAGAAGAGGAGGCTCTCGTTGATGATGTTGGGCACCCAGCTGAAACATCAATATGTCTCATTAGCATTTAACAAATCTGTAAATGAACCCCTCTTAAAACCAACAGCTTTAAATGACATTATTATTTTCATTAAGTAAATATACAGCTGATATCCAGCTCTTATTTTGCTGTGGACCATGGTTATCACGACCTCCTATAAACGACAATCATGCATGGATTTGCATGAATTGGTCACATTATAGCAAGTGTTACCCTACTACAGCAAGATGGCTCAATTATAGATGATCTTATCTGTTATAAAATGTATAACCTAAGTAATTCTTGACTAATGCATGACTCATGGTGAGGTGATGCATGAGTTAATGCAGGGTGCATTAGAGGTTGTGTTGTGAATTGTGATTAGCTAAGGAATATTGATTCACTGTTACGTCATATATTCATTACATGCAATAAAATATAGAAATGCATGGTTTAGAGTTGAGAATATAAAACATAATGATATGGTCCTTTGAATAAACATAATAAAATATTCTTATAAGAAAAAAGTGTAAAAACTAAATTACTTCCTTGAGTCTTTAGTTAGCTTTAGACTAGAGGTGCTGTGTGGTAGATTGTATTGCTTTGGAGTGCCAGGCTAGCTCGTTGTGCTAAGCTAACTGGCTGCTGCCTAATACCACTCTCCTGTCTGTATATTAAATATATATAAGTTACAATCTTCTCCCTTAAACCTCAGCAAGAAACGTGCTGCTGAAAATGTCAGACTATTTCTTTGAGTGTATCCCTTTGATAAACAATGTTAACATACCAGATGAAGAACACCAGCATAATTTTAAAGAAGCGTATCTTTATCTCATTGGCCAGCCGTCTCTCATTTTCTGTGTAGATTCCTTGTCGTCCTTTTAGCAAAGATGTCACTAGATTGGAAGAACAAAATAAGTAGATATTGAAAACCCATGCATGTACATGTGTAAGAAAGTATATAACATAAAAGTATCGGAATTACCTGCAGATATGGTCCGATTAAAGAAGATAGGATTGGCCACGAGGACCAGCAGCATTGGTGCGTATGTGGTGACATAGTGAGGGATAGCATGCTGGAGGCCTTGCTCACAACTGCACACAATGCAAGAGAACATTAAAGTTAGCATTGGTAATCACAACTACATCACTGGGAGATAAGTTCTTAACCCAGTTTCAACATCTTTTTTCTATGGGCATACACACTGACTTATTCATCCACAGTTTTACTGATAGCCTCAGGCTCTTGAAAGACAAAAGACAGTGACAAAATGCTGGAAGGTGCTAGATCGTGCATCTAAGGAACAACAAAGGGACTTACTCAGAGATGGATGGATAGTAGAGCATGGCCACTCCTTCCACACACAGCAGCACGGCCAGACCCCATGTAATCATG